GGAGGAGGAGGAGAGAGAGAGAGAGAGGGTGAGTGAGAGAGAGAGCCGGCGCGGGGAGCTGTAGAGCAGCCGGGACGCGTGAGGCGCGCTGGTGGGGATTGACACGGTCAAGGTCAGCCTCGGTTCTAAGGTCGCGGGAGGGATGTCATCTCAGAAGGGAGTGCCTGGATATGCTCCGTCTCTTTTTCTCTCGCTCCCTCGTTCCCTTCACCCCGATCTTCCTTTCTCTCCACCGAGGTTTGCACGCGCGTTCTCGGCCTCGCTTTCGGACCGCGCGCGCGAATCGTAAAGCGAGGACGAGCGCTCTCCGTCTTCTCTTCTCTCATCTGCTTCGCCGCACGTTTCTCCTTTTCTCTCTTCTTTTTTTTTTTGTGCGCCCGTCTGTGCGTTTAGCTTGAACTCGTCCGCCGACTGATGGAAGAGCCGGGGCTCTTTATTTCTTCATCTCGAACGAACTCTCTTACCTTCGCACGGGGCGCGTTTCGCGGCCGACGCGAGGACACGCGCGAGAATCGCGGGAGCGTGCACTCTTCGCGGCCGAAAACAGTACATTCTTACATGTGAATTAAGCGAGTGAAATAAATAAAGCGACTTGGAAGGTCATTTCACAACGGCTCGACAAGTATTGTTTCAAGATTATTGTAGATAGAAAAATATCAGTTTTATGTAGTTTTGATCATTATTGTTAATCGTCGGACTCTTATTTCAAGCGGCTCGACTACAAATAGTACTTGAAATATTTGGAATTTATAATTGGCGAGGAACAAAGAATCATCTCATTGTCCTTTGGCTCATTGTCCTTTGGCTGCAACAAGTTTGAATAAGTCTAACACTGAAAGGAGGCAGGTTAACATGCTGGTATTTAAATTGGTTTTTAAATTTCGAGTTCGGAGGAGGAGTCCACGTGGACCTGAAGGCGTAATCCAGTTCCGCTGGACGCCTATCCTTTTCCGCTCGAATTCTGTCCCGAAGCGATCGTTAGAGCGAACGGTCGTTCAGAGAAATTCCCGCATACATTTCTACCGCTTGGACTTAATCCCATGGTTGGTGTATGCACGAACGACGGCAATCAATCATCTCGTCGCGAATATCTTACAGAAGTCGGCCGAGCGATCGGATAGTCATTAAAGCTAAGCACGATTAAAAGTCACCCGGTATGACTGTAGACTATTTTGAAATTGTGGAGTCCAAGCAGTCCGGTTGCATGTTAAAGTAACACGTTCGAATTTTCTCACTAAGTGATAATAAATTTAATAAAGCTCAAACAATTTTAAAATTTACACGGAGAAAATGTCATATTAAAAATTATTATGTACGGCAGTAACCGCGGACTGAAAATTTTTACTATGTTTCACATGTGAAAAACATAATAACAATTTTTATAATTTCTTTATGGTCCGCGGCTACTACCGTACATAGTAATTTTTTATATAAAGTTTTTTCCACGTATAAAAAGAAAGAAAAAACGGTAACAAGGATTCAAGATCAAATTAAAGTGAAATTGATAAATGTTATAACGCATAAAATTGTCGATTTTTTTACGATGGGTAAATGTTAATTTAATTTTGTGTTAATATTGTAATTTATTTTTGAGGATGGTCGAACGATCAACTGAAATATTTGTATTTTCAACATATTGTAATTATATGAAAGATTTGACTCACATCTTATCAAAGTTCTTGAACGTTTTCTTCTTCTTTTAATTTCTGACTAGTTTGCAAAATTTTTATTACAGAGCATGCTGCATCGTATACATAATTTAGCATGACAATGTAGATGTTTTTTTATTAAATTCTATACTAAAGAAATCTGTCACAAAAAATCAGCTATATGTTTTGTATAAGATGTCACATATAAGAAAAAAACAATTTCATTTATAATATATATATAGCGTTACAGCTAGAACGAACGTGTTAATTAAATTACAATTTTATTAATAACAAAAACTATAACTCATATTATAAACTGTAACGTCTTTTACATGGACTGATTGACACTAACAATAATAAGTCGTCTTTTGTTTTACGATGTTATCGAGGCAATTGGAATAATTTGCTCAGGAAAATCAAATCGCCGGCAGGCGATAATAATTTCCTCGTTCTCTCCAAGAAACGTATGTTCTCGGCATATGGTACTCGATGTTATTTTTAGATCGTGAAATTCGTCACGTGCACGTACAACGCAATGCGCAATCGAATTCTACGAACGACATAAAAATCATCATCATTTTGAAGACTTAAAATTTTTCGAACATATTTATAAAATTACAAAATTTTGTTTCTAAATTTGTCTCG